GGGAAAGAAAGGGTGATTATTCCTGAGCTATATGAGGAAGAAGTTGTTGTTTGCAGGGCGATCCGTGTATATTTAAGGTATATGTAATGCAGCTAAATGCACTAGGTTTTGCCTTAAGGATTTTATGGCCCTGAGGGTGGGAAGAAGGATGGAGTTTGAGGCAGCAACTGATTTTTTTTAAAGCCCTGAAATGAAGAAAATTCTTGTTTGAAATAACTTTAAGGACTTAAAACTTGATCCTGGAGCACCCTGCAGACCCCACGTGTGTATGTCTTCTGGCTTCTCAAGAAAATATAGCCAGGCTTGCCAAATGCATATCACCTCTGAAAGAAAGAGGACCAATGCATAGTATTAATGGCACCTACATACTTAATCCATGCTTGTCAAGGCCACACTGCTCAAGACGAGCTGGGTGCAGGCAGTAAGTTCAGCAGAGCAATGTTCCAGCCGTGTTGCCTGTGCAGAATTGCTGCCTGCAATAATGGCCATTTGCCTGGCACATCCAGCAGCCCGGGCTGTCAAACATCCCAAAATGGTGTTTGGTGCTGTCGAACCATACATCATCATTCAAATAGTGATGTACCAACCCATCAGCAGAATTAGCAGGTCTGCAGATCAAATGTGCCTAGACAAGGACATGGCAGGGGACGATAAAAGACTGCCAGTTAACGTAGCTCTTAACTTCACCTTAAATGCTGCTTCCTCTGCTTTGTACACAGGATCCTGTCTGGCCAGAGGAGTCATGAACTCTGAGGTCCTCAGTGGCTTCTTGGTCATCTCCAGGAGGCGTAGCTGGCTCAGGACACCTTGTACTGCCTGGACGATGTGTCCCTGGGTGAAACCATCAGACACCTTTGCTAGGCATGCAGGTTGGTGATCACTCCACCATTCTGCAGGATGATGTGTTTCCATAACACTGTTCAAGACCCAGAAAAAGAGAGAATGTCAAAGATGCGCATTAAGGAACACAGGAGAAATAAATTTGCATTTCGAATTTGAAACAGGGAAATAAGTGGTATCAGTCAGGAAAGTCAAGATTCAAATTTTTCTTGTTTGCTATTTTTCCCCTATAGATTTGTGGAATACAGGCATTTAGGCACATCCGTTATTAAACCATTAGTAATAATTTGTTGGCTACCAGTCAGTACTTTCAGACAGTCATAAAGGGCACATAAAGTGAGGTGGATGTGAGTGTGTAAATGAAAGAAATACTTAAATATGCCTGTGTGCATACACAGAGAGAAAACCTGTCCAGAAAGTTCCCGTTTGGGTGTGTAGAGTTAAGTACCTGTATTAACAACCTGTTTTTGTTTCTGTAACCCTGATCACAGGTTATTTGCTGAACTGAGGGCTGCAATGGGGACTCAATGTCTAGTTTGGAAGCCAGAGGCTTCCAGCTATGCAGGCATATGCTTCAAAGGCCAAGCGTAAAATCCTGTGATTGGCGTTTTGCTCGGTAGTTAAGTGGTGAACCTGTTCGTATCTTTTAGCTATGAACCTCTGTGACATGAAGGTTTTCCTAATGTTTGTGAAGTGCTTGAGAGTCTTCTTCCAAAAAACTCACAATTTAATAGGAGGAATAAATGCTTTTCGTTTAACTTCTGTAAAGTTAACAGTCTGTCTCAGAGAAACTTTGTAAAATTTTAATGCCATCTCACGCTGCCTTCCTTTAAAACCCTCGAAGAAAACACTTGGAAAAAATGATGTTCTATGTGTAGAGATTAATAAGGCTCTTGAATGAGACAGACAATTTGTGCTTTGAGTATCCAGTGTTTGACTTCATATGTAGCATGAAAGTGTCAGGTGGAAAGTTAATGCTACTGGATGTCAGGGCAGTTATGTCATGGAGAAAACCTGCCTTGCTCTTGCTTTGGCTGCAATGTCGATACTATGGACTTGTGCTCGTAACTATTGACAGCTTTGTACTACATTTTTCACTCAGGCAAACTGTGGTCTTCCACTTGAATTATAACTATTCTCAATAATTATTGGCTGAATCACTAATTCATAAAAGAGGGACTGATGCACACAGCAGTGAGTGCTACTTTTGCACAGCTGTATATTGTGAGCCGCAGCTTCTGCTGAGGTACTGACTTGCTGGGTGATTAATAGCAAGAAACCAGTACAGGATCATGAATATTTCAGTTTAATGATTTCCATTGTATGTTTGTTTCCTTCGTGCATAGATTGCAATATCCTGGTTTGTAACACAATGGAAGGTTGTAGCAGACAGCTGTGCACTGTGGCTACAAATATTTGTTATGTCATGGCTTTTCTGTCAAAACAAGTTATTTTAGTTCTCAGATTGGGTGTCAGGTACTAAAAACTGTCAAGATTGAAAGATGAGTGTACTGTAGAGATCATATTTTCATTGAACTTTAGGAAAGGTTGGAGCTAAAGAACAAGGCTAGCACTGTCTTAAATGGGACAATGTCAAAGAACTAAAGCTACAAGTTTTATCTGCTTTAAAACACTAAGAGTTAACTTTCTGGGATATTCTTAAATTTGCAGTTGAAATCCCTTTGACTGGCTCTACTTTTGACTCCAAAATAGTGGTGAGAATCCAGAATGTGACTGTTCAATCCTCAGAAACAAACACAGCTAAATTCAGCTGCTAGCACCTCCTTTCTCTAGGTCTTATTCATGTCCCTTATCTGTTAGTAATTTATCAGAGCTGTAACATAACATGAAACACATGTTAGCTTGCTTAGAGACCATTTCCCATCCACACTCTGAAAATTATTGAATGTGGGGGTGATTTACAGTGTGCTAGGCAGTGGAAGCCTGTCTTGAGCTTGGCCAAACCTGCATCATCTCAGTATCTCAGCTGCCTCCATGAAAGGCAGTATGAAACTGGACTTCACAATTCAGTTGCATGACTTTGTAATAAGGTGACTATGCAGAGCAATGTTGTATTAAGGTACAACTCTGTAGTGAGGTCCCTCAACCTGAGTGTGGTTTCTCTTCTGTATTATTCTGGGACGTGATCAATCAGAAATCAGTGGTGTGGAGGGAGTCCATTTTCCTTGATGTGGTGATCAGTAGGCATATTCATGGTAGGAGAAGTGCACCACTGAAAGTCCTAACTTGAAATGTCTGGGGCCATTCTGAATACCCCAAAATCCTTTTTCCATGTTTTCTTTAGATTGAACCTAAACAACCCCTCTACTTATAAGCGACTACATCCAGACTCCTTAATACCCAGAAAAGTGGATTAAACCACATGATATTTGTGATTAAACTACAGGAAAAAAAGACTATACTTTTGGGAACAAAAGCCCTTCTACAAGCCAGTGCTGAAGGACAGACTACCATTTTTCTTGCAGTAATCGATTCACATTATAAAGCTTAATTTGGACCATTTCTTCCTTGTCTATGCTTGGCTATTGCGGATGTCAAGGTGATTCAAATCTGAAAACAAACCTGCAATGCCTGAAAGTGTGTCTTTTATTTTTTTTTTCTTAGCCATGTCAAATTCTCTAATAAAAGACCCTCTTTTCCTTACAAGCGTTGACTCTCAGCATATGGGGTACTCAGTGGGTTTGTCAGACTTTGGGAGTGCCTGTCTATCACTGTCAATATTTGATAGATTAGACATGCAAAATCTTGGATGACTCTACAATTTCTCTCATGATTTGCAAGTACAAAAATAGAATTTGACAGTGACAAACCTCAATCCTCCAGACATGGTTCTGTTTATGGAGATACCCTGAAGTGTATAGGTGTAATAGAAATTCAGAATCCTCATGTAAAAAGAAAAGCTTAAAATAGAATGTGTATATTGAAATAGGATCTTATCCTTCCTATGGTGAAAAAACAGCTTGGGATGAACTTGGTGCATGCTAAACAGCTGACAAAGAAATGCTAAATCACCACAGAAGATTATTTAAAAATCCTTCTCCCAGCTTCCATTTATATTAACAGATCTTCTGGGTAGCCTGTATCAGTATTACCTGAGGGTATGAATTGAGGTTAAATTCAGTGCTGAGGATAACCAGACAATAAGCATGGATTTTAAACAGTAGTAATAAGCAGGATCACTTGAAATACTTACCATATCTTGAAGCATAGTCAGGCCTAGGAATCAGAATAATTTTTTGGTAGAATCTGAAGAAAGGTTGAGGCTTAGCATTGAAGGGACAGTTGGTAGTTCCCACTAGCAGCACTCTGTCCTGTGCTTTCAAAGCCTTAAGGAATTCGAAGAGGAGCTTTTCCACTTGTTTTGGGCTCATCTTCAGTATATACATGTGAATACAAGAAGGAAAGAGTTGTTACTGATGCTGACAGTTAAGAGTTAATGAGGTGAAGCTGTATGTAAACGTACTTTATACAAGAGGTTTTTCTGCCTTTTTTTTTAGTAGTCTACTTGCATTTAGTATCACTTGTGTATTTGTGCTAGTGCCTCTTCACTATCCAATTTGCTGGTCCTGTTATTGAAAAGCAGGAAGGAAACAACTCAAAGAAGGAAATCCTGATTTTCAGTTCAAGTGGAAATATTGCTTGGACCTCTGTACCTGATGGACTTTAACAGATAGAAAAATTGCCAGGGTACGTAATCTGGTGTGGAATCCTTCCAGCTCTTGGAGGTTACAATCTACCAACTCCCACCCATGGTTTAAATGTGAAAAATACGCTCCCCAATTTAAGCTCTGATTTCTAGCTTGTTGAGGCTTTAACCTGAGAATGCAAGCTCTTTAAACTCAGGATTCTTTTCGTTGCAATAATTTACTGTTTGACTTCAGAGCAAGTATTTAACTACTGTCTACAGAATGGATGAGTATTGAGCAAAACTCGTTATTGGATAGTTATGTTTGATAATGTTCAAGTAAATATTGGTTGGAGAAGCTTAATCAAACTGCTGTGGTGTAACTCTACTGTTAATAAAGCTATAAGTGAATAACTGGGCTAGGATAGTTTATCGGAGAAGTCTAATGTCTTGGAAGCTTATTTTCAGAAATGTTTGAGACTTAACATCCAAGACACCAACACTCAAACTTGACCCTCTAGATCACCATGTGGATTTTTTAAAATATTATTATATAGTAGGCAGCGCCCTGAGAAACTTGAGCTTTGATTTCAGATCAGCCTTCCTTAATAAGGAAAAAAAACCATGTCCTGCAAACTTTCTCAGCTGAAAGGCAATAATAAATAACTGTGACTCCACATTGCATGTACAGACTTTGGGATCCAATTTTTCTGCTGTCTGCAATAGTCAACAGCTGACAGAAAGGATACAAAGCTCTGTTCTTTGGAGTGAAAGCTACGGAGGAGAGGAAATTGGGAAATCAGTAAGAAATCCCAAAAGTTTGAGGCAGAGTACACAGTTATTTTCTAGCTAAACTTGTCTTAATTAAAATCCTATCAGTTTTCTCATTCTTTTTCTTCTCATGGTCATACTATACATCTTCCTAGGTTTGCCAATTGCTTAATCATGAGTTGAGCATGTCTTAGCACTGAGGCTTAGGTCCCATTTTTGGAGCATGGGCATCTTGCTTGCCAGGACAATGCATCCAGCTCATGCTTATGCTCTTGGATGAACTATTCCTGTAGTTCACTCAAAGCCAGCTGACATATTTTCATCCCCTCCTTGTTGTGCCTATGTACCCAGAGCTCCCTGCCCTGGAGTAAAAGAAGTCTTGACTTTTCTCTTACTCTGAAAGAAAGGATGTTGCTTTGTCCATGCCCGAACAGCACGTTTGCTGTCTGAGGGCATGACACCTCAAGCTCTTATCCAAACTTTGCCATTCCCTTGTTGAGAAGCTTTTGGTAATGAACTTGATTTCTCTGACGGTTAAACAAGCTGCTGTTACATACCTGCCTTGGACGTTTTAGCCAGCCTTGCCACCTTTGCTCTGTCAGGGAGATCTGGTCAGACCAATGACTGAAATGTGAATTTACTTTGTTTTTAACACGTTTTATGCTGGCTTAATTACTCTGTTATTTATGTATCTGTTGCTACTCATAGGCTCCAAACTTCCTCCTTCTTCATGTGATTTGGAAGGAAGTATAAATATTCTCCAAGATGTTTTGAGACATCAATACTACTAAAAAGGTGAGAATTATCAAATAATCTTAGGTTTGGAGGTGGTGGGGTTAGAGTAATCTCATCTCACCAAAATGACTGCTAGAAGATAGTATTTGCTCTGAGTGAGATCTGATATTTTCTGGGTTTGCAGTATGTGTCTTCTGCTGGCAAAACTGACTATCAGGAGATGCAGAGAATTTTTAAAGCAATTGTTTAGCTCCTGTTTCACTTCTTACTTGTGAAAATAAGTCCTAATTTATACCCAGCACTTAGAACTCTTTTTTTTTGGTGACAAATGATATTAATGAATTCCCACTGATTTAGAGTTGGTTACAATAAGTGTTCATTGCTCAGCTTGTAGTAATTTTAATTTTAAATTTTTAAATGATTGCACCAGTATCAGAGACCGAGTTCAACACTTCATTCACGTTAAGCCTACTAAGCAGACTGGCATTTATGTGTCAGCAGCTCCTGTTATGTTTGTGAAACTAATGTGTGTCCATAACGCACACATTTCAGCAATATGTCCTGAAAGCTAATAATATCTCTTCCACTTTGAAAGAAATGTGTCAGAAGCAAGGAGAGGCTGTTGAAGAGGCAAGCTCTGATTTCAGCCATCATGTAGACCTGAGCTGGAGAAAAGTGGGGTGAACTGTGAAGGTGACTTCTATTTGTTTAAATATGGGTGGCTGAACTGCAGACACATCATCCTTGGCAACTGGGTTACTACAACATATTTGATATTTGACTGCTTTGCATTTTTCAGGGAGGATTGGAGAGAGGCTGCTTTTGTAGTGGGTATTTGAAGAATTTAAGGCTTCTTTTTACCAGGTTCTCAGTCACAGTGCCAGAAGTGTCATGCTAGGATGAGTAAAGTGACTTCCACATACTTTGGCTTCTGAGGCCTGAGCTTAGCTCACCTCCAAAATTCTAGTGCTCTTAAGGAAGGCTTCTCTGATTCCCAGTTATCACTGTGTCTCTCTCTCCTGTTTCTTGCTCTGTCTCCAAATATTGGTTATGCTGTGAACTATCTTGGGCACGAGTGATTTTAACCCTGGAGCTATCCACTCCCATGAAGAACAAGAGAGCATTTCTGTTAAATATCTGCAGGTCTATGCATGTGGTAGCAGGGATAGAGGTGATACCCGTGACTGATGTGGGTGTGAGAAGAAATTTTTCCTTATTAGTGGCTATCAAAGCAAAGATCATGATTACTCCAGGCAATCTTTGGCACCTAGTCTTATTTTTAATCCCCGTCTGTACTTGCTGTCAAGGTTTGAGCACAAGAGAAAGGTTCCCTACGTGTGGGGACCACTAGAGGGCATCAATCACTGCACACCCATCAGCTCATACAGCCCTCACAGAAGTAACAGCCTCGTCCAAGGTGATGCTTCATCCATCTTCCAATAGACAGGCTTGTGTTCACCCCACAGCCTAAACACAGAGGACTCACCTTAAGAAAAAAGGTTTAATTTTTTCACATGGAGCTTTATAAGTAAAATATTTTGCAAGCAGCATGAATCTAATCAGGATTTCAGGTGAATTGCTCTCTGTGGTGGCCGAGTTGCTGTGCCTATTGGGCAGTGTTTTAATTTTCTTTCTAGTGCGGAAGCTGCACAAGGGAGGAAGGAATGGAAGCAATAGCAATAGAACTCCTGGGAGCCCAAAGAAATAATCTGTAAACATAACTATTTAACATAGTCTCTTTGTTTTCATAGTGGAAATTTATCCTTGTTACTTTCTCGTTCACTTTGGCTCTATCCAATTTCTCAAATTAATAGAGCTGAACAATTTAAGCTCATCTTAACTTTCAGTTTCTTACTTCGTATTTTGAAATTCTCCATTATTCTCTTCTACTTTTCAGTGCACTGAAAAATTTTTAAATAAAGCAAGTATAGGTGAGTAGGAAAGAAATGTGACCTCTTGGGGGCTCTTAAGAAGTCACAAGACTCTCTTAAAAGAAAAAAATGTTAGTGAGACAAGCTATTATCAAGCAAGCTTTGGCAGGTCTGGTCATACTGGTATGTGCTAAGCTAAGAAATACACTTGTTCCTTTGTGTCGGCTGTAATGCAACAAGAGAAAATATTTCCTCTGAAAAAAGGAACAACTCACCTCTTCTTTAGCCTTCTGAGCCCCTTTAGAAAATATTTTTTCCGTCTCTCCTATCCACACAACTGAAGGCTGCAATTCCTTTGCTACCTAAGAGAAAATGGGGGCGAGAAGGCAAAGAAGTTGATTAAAATGGTTACAATTTCATACCTGGGTGCCTATAATTATGCTTTTGAATTTATATTTTGGCAGTTAAAATTAGCCTGTTGTGTTTTTTTTTTCCCCAGAAATGTTCAGCGCTCATGGGTAGCGCTGGCTTTGCTCAGCAGCCTTGGCAAATCAAACCGTTTCTAGTTAAGAGTCTCACATTAAGAACCCAACCCGAATTGGATCATTTTGACTGCTATGCTCATGTTGCATTTCTGAAGCCAAATTCAGTTGCAGTTCTGAAAAAGAAGCCTGGACTTGGAGTTCAATGGCAAGGGACAGACCATCAGCAGCTTCAGACTGGCTGGCCTGCCCGTAGGATCCCTCCCTGGTTTTCCGAGGACAATGCAGATGTGGAGACAGAAGAGACATGGCTATTGCATTAGAAGTGAGGGTACTAATCTTTAAGCAAAATAGGCTGATATGCAGTCTTCTGGCTTACAAAATAGTGTTTAATTTGCAGTTAGCTCAATAATTAAGACAGGACTTGTTAAATTTGAAGGAGAGGTCTTTACAAAAGGGCTTTCCAGCTCCAAAGTCGGAGGCACTATACCTCTGGTTCACAGCAGGATGGCAGCAATGCTACAGGCTTTTTCACTCTCCCTATTGCTATAGAAACGCCAGTGTTTTAGACATTCTGCTGCCAAATTTTAATCACTTTCCAGTGGCTCTCAGAGCCGTGCTGGTTTGCTCAGCAGCAAAAAAGCGATGGCTCGAGGAGTCAATGGGTAACGAGACAGCATTCTTCTGTCCTGCTCCCCACCCAGATAAAACTGCTGCTTCCTGGAAGGAAGCTCACAAAATCGATAGGTTGTATACATCATAAGCTCAGTGTCTGATTGACAGCCAGTGCAGGAGGAATTAAGTCATGAACATCTTTCTTCAAAGCACCACGGTTCATTTTTATGGACACATTTCAAAAGGACCAAGCACGTGTTTGTGTCTGTACAGTAAAATTGTGTTGAAGATAGGGGAAAAGAATAGTAGATGAGGGCTGTTAAACTTGTTTTCTCTACTCTGCTGATGATGGGGTGAAGTGGAAACAATGCCATCTTCGGCATGTGACACTTTATTTGTGGTAACTTGTCAGTCCTAGAATATGTCAAGTGGTACCTCCAAGTTTAGAATGGTTTCATTGAGGAAAGCTGAGCTTTTTCCTTTGTTGGAGGGCAGGAACTCAAGTGTTTAGTATTAATAATGAGGGTTTAGAAAATAAAAGGATTGTATTGTGAAAGATAATAGAAAAACCCTGCAGAAACTCACGTGTGGATCTAGGCAATGGTGTGAATGTTTATCTGCATGTACAACTTAAGGGGTAACAACTCAGTCTAGCAGTGTATTGAGAATGCAAGCTGGAATGAAACGACAGATTAAAATTGTACAGCAGTAATATCTGTCATTTTAAGGGCAGATGCTTTTTAAATCTATATCCTATTTATCTATTTTAAGAGGTAGGTTTAGCATATTCCTAAGCCTGTGCATGCTCTGTAAAGTACACTTGAGAGGACAAGCTTATGGCTTTCATTGAAGCGAGCTGTGCAGCAACCTTAAACTCAGGGATTTTCTTGGAGTACCCTGCTAGTCAAGGGCTCAGACACCTACAGAAAATGCAAGTCAGTCTTTGTCCTGTTTTTTTCTGGGATTGAACTGTAGATCTACCTTTTTTGTTCAGCACTTGCAGGTGAATTTGTTCAGCTCCTGCATGTCAGTAAATAGGCTTGGGAACAAGTGGTTAAAGCAGGGTAGTGTGGTTGTATAGCACAGATGGGATAACTGGGATTCTTTGTAAAATTGAGACTTGGAAAGAAAAATAATAGGTTGTACTTTAAGTTGCTACAAGAAACCTATAGCTTCCTAAAGAACTGCATTTGCATTTTGTGCACCCACTATGAAATCTACTGTGATGTCTAGAAACTCTGACAGAGACCCTTATCAAACTCAGCACTGCTAATGAATGGATTATCAGCTGGGGCTTTCTGATGTTTCTGATGGTGGGTTTTACCTTCTGAAACATAAGATAACAACCTGCTCTGTGCATGCTTGGATGGAGATGATGTCAGGTGGAGATGAGGCAGTGGGAGATCGTTCCCCTTGAAGCCAGCCTTTTGGCTGAGCGAAGACTGGGCTGGTGGCATGCTGCCTACTCAAGTTTACAGACTGCACGCACGCATTCCCACCCTGATGGACTCCATAGGATCTGCTGTTACTGGGGTGTTTTCTCCCTGTTTTGCTCGTATATACAGCCCTGTTAATGTCTCAGCTGCTGACAAGGATTACTTCTCTGCTAATGTTAATGCAAAGAGGTGCTGTGTGGTTGTTTCCCTTTCTGGTATTTTTGCTTTGTGAGGTAATGCAGCTGTATGAAGCCTGGGTAGCCACGTAGCTGTTCTGCTGTCTATTCTCCATGCCTGTGTGTCTGATGCTGCAGTGTGATGTGACGGGGAATAAGGGTAGAGGAGGTTACAGAGGCTGTAAAAGCTGTTGCCAGTGGTTGAACTCTGCTTGTGTACTTCAAAGGGAACCATGTTGCCCTTTCAGTGGGGCCACTGCAGTTAGGGAGGTGCAAATTTTCCCCACTTGGCTCAGATGACTTCTGTGGTTAGCAGCCCTCTAAAATGGAGCTGTAAGTTTTTAACCAGATTATGCTTTCATTTTAACTCTTAAGGAATAATGTTCACTAATAAATGTCACACGTCGTCTTTTTTTTGCCTCTTTAATTTCCCCCCAGTTCTGTCTCTTTCTTAAAGAGATTCTTTCCTGTGCTTTCTGTTTTGAAGCAATGATCTAAATGTATAAAGAGGCCTGTGTGTTTTTTCTGCTGTTGGTAAACATTAATGTGACCAAATTCAACACACTGCGTTTGGGCCCAGCTGTTTCTTTATTTAAAGACAGATCAGACACCCAGAATCCATCGGCATCTCATTGAAATTGTTGGCAGATACATAGCAGACTGTATATCCCCTGTGAAAGTGCTTCATTTGAATTATCCACGGACAGTTTGAATCCATGGATAATTAAATGCACTGTACATAATTAATTTGTAATTGAAATTTTATTAGCTTTGCAGCATTCAACACTTTGTGGGAGCTGCCAGCAGATGGCTCTTTAACCCTTCTAATACCGCACCGGGCCAGCAGCCGCCTGCGCTAACTGCTCTCTGATGGGTTGCGGGAGCTTGATTTGCTCTTCAGGAAAATCGTTATGAGAAAAGGCTTCTCGTCCTGCTGTCTGTCAACACTTATCAAAGATCAAACAGCATTTCTGAAAGCCTGGGGTTAAACTTTTCAAACTTGAGAGATGGAGTTTAACAGTTAAATTGCTAAGCTTGAAAATGCAGAAACTTGATTCTTGCAGGGGGCACATGCAAAAGGCCCCTCCAAGCTTGAAGGCTTTGATGGATTTTTTTCTTTTCTTTTCTTTTCTTTTTCTTTTTTCCCCTAAAAACTCAAGACTATGATTTTTCTGGAAGCTCAATTTATTGCTGAAAACTGCTCAATCTTCTGTAGTTTATATTCGCAGAAATGCTCCAAAGCAGCAAGATGCTGAAATCTGTCATTAGGCCTTAAATACAGGAGCCTCACCAGGCAAATATTCTAGTGCTACAGTGATGATGCTACCGTATTCTGCTTTGCCAGACAGAAAATAACTTCTAAATACTGTCTTAAAAGAGGATGCATTTTCTTTTCTGACATTACAGTAACCTAGTGTAAAGCTGCTTTGTCACAGAAATAGCATTGTATTTTTGAGTACTGTTGATTTTTAACACTTCAAGGGTCTAGGCTTCTAGTAGACTGCACTGCACCACATTAAAATAAGTGCTCTGAGATGCCTGGAAGAAAGGCTGATTGTACTGATTCAGTATTTTGACTCTAATGGAAGAGTCTTGTGTGGCATGGAAACGCTAAATACGTAGAGACTTGTGTCAGTGTACTAGGGTAAACTGTACCTCATCCTTCAGACTGCCAGAAAAAGGACCTGTCTGAAGGGACAATACAGCAGTGGTTACAAATAAATGAACCTGATTTGCTGAAAAAAAAATATATATATAGATGGCAGACTTCAAAACTATGTTGCCTCTAAATGCTAGGATTATATAATTGAATCTTAAACTCCATTGTATTCCTTTTTGGTATAACACTTTTGCTGTCATCCCTGACTTGCTGAATAGCATAACCAAGCAGCCCAATAACAGAATCCCCTAACAGCGGTGGTATCCAAATATTTCTGCAGCTTGCTGCTCTGTAAAACTCCTTATTCAGTGAAGGCAGCTGCACAGCACACACCGAGCTGTTGATACACATACGTGCTTTCTCTGCTGGTATTTCCTCCTGGCCACCTCTTTCCCAACCTTTTAAGCCTGGTCAGTGTTGCACTTACAACATTTTCCCATGTGTGGCTTTTTGTACAATGTGCTTTCTGTGTGCTGCTGCAGCCCTGGTAAAAGACCTGAGAGGGTTTTTCTCACTCTGGTAATGATTAACCTGATGGCTGCCTTATGGTTGCTAATGGAAGGCCAATGCTTGTCACTTTTATTGCCTTGGCGCTAACCCTTATGAACTGCCTCTATTTTTTGCACCTCTATGTTGTGGAGTCGTGCCTTCTACCTTCTCTCCTCAGTCCTTTTTGGATTTGCTTTTGTTTCTACATATCCTTCACTAACCTTTGTATCTTGTATATAAGCTGTTGCACGGCAGCAGTGTTTTATGCCTTGATGGAGAAGATGGGAGAGCCAAGCCCTTGGCTGGTACAAGCTGGCAGGGAGCTCTATTGAGTTCAAGCTGGCTCAATACATGGAAAATGTGGTTTAATTGAAATATTCCAGAATGTACTGGTTCACACTTGAAGGATGAGTTTTGTTTTGGGGACTGCTGGGAAGTGCTTCTATATTAGAGACAGATCCTCTCTTTTCACTCTGAAGCAAGAGCTGACCTGGCAGGCTTTGCTGTGTCTTTACGGAGAACACAAAGTGCTCAGGCTTGGTGTTTGCAGCTTCTTTCAATAGTTTTCCTATTCAATATTAATCTTCCTTACATTTCTTTTGAATAGGCAGATTGAAATGTCAGTGTTTTCCTGTTCTGGTTTGAGAAGTCATTTCCTCTGTATGACATTTAAAGTGCCTGCTCAGAGTAACGCACAAGCCTCTCTTTTGGATCAGGGCTGGTATGTCTCTTATAAGTCTCCTCCCTGAAATAAGGGAGGGGGAAAAAAAAGAATTTGGCTCCAGCATCTGAAACAAATTAAAGTTTCATTTTTTCCAATGCTATTCACTTGTTTAGGGTGTCTCCCACGAAACAACTGCCAGCAGCCAACACTCAGTTTTGGAAAGAAAATTTCCTAATGGTCATTTTATGCTCTCCAGTTTCCTTTTATTACAAAAACTCTGTTGTTTGTAGATGTGATAGGTAATTGAAAGTGCAAGGTAACTTCACCTTTATCACAGAGCACCATTAATTCTCATTTACTAAATCTTGGTGTTTAACAATGGTTATGTGGATCATACGATAACAGAAAAAGAACTGTCGAGTTACCTGTCATTGACTTAGAACACAAACCTTCCACTTGTAGTTGTGCTTGTCTAACTCTTTATAAAGGCATTTCTGGAAAGCTGAAGTAGAAACCTTGCTTGACAACAGCTACAGTTGGTGTTTGTAAAAAAACATGACCAGAAGTGTCTGATTATAAAGATGTGGTCAATCCTTCAGTGATCGTTTGCATGCAAGGCACTTTAACAAGGTATACTATGGTGTGTCAGATAGTAGACTGAGAGCTGGGAATATTAAATACTACATGTCAGCTGCAAGATACCATTTGTTCTCATGACTTGTAAGACTGCAATGTACATATAGTATACAATAATCCAAATATGTTTACACCAAACTTTTTTTGCCATGGTGAAAAATAAACTTTTTTGAGGGGCAAATATCAGCGCTTTACTTCCTCTAGTCAAGGAAATTGTTTTCAATTCGTGTTGCCTTTGTGTTTGCTCCAGCTTGGGTAACAGTAGATTCCTGCAAATCAGGATATAAAAGATTCCTTGTACTTCAATTCCTTGTGAAACTTTTTTCCCTAACATACAAAAATTTCCATTGCTGCAGCATGTGTCCATTGCCTCTTGTCCTGTTGCTGTGCACCTCTGGGAAGAGTTTAGCTCTGTTCTCTGTATCCCATGAAGGCCATGAAAACAGCAGCTAGATTCCCTCTCGCTCCAGCCTTAGGCTGAAACAACTGGGTTTGTTCAGCCTATCTCATGCACTCTGGCTCCCTTATCTTCATGACTCTCCACTGGACCTGCTTGCCTGTCAATGTCTGTCTTGTAACAGGGTAGCCCAATACTGGACATAGTGTCCAGTTGTGGTCTCAAGTGCCAAATAGCAGGGAATAATTAATTGCTTTAGGAGGCTGGCTATACTCTTGCTGACAAAGGTCAATATGTGGCTGACTTTTTTGCTCCGCAGACACACTGTTAGCTCGTGTTCAATTTGCTATCCTTAAGAACTCCCAGTCCTTTCCTGCAAAGCTGATGTCCAGCTGATGGGGTACAGCCTGGGCCAGTTTGTGCTTTGCATTGAGTCACCCCATGCTAGGTGCAGGATTATGATATTGGATGGGAGTACTGGGTGTTGTAAAGAGGCAGCAACTGATGGCAGGATAAATAGAGTGGTTGGATGTGGCATGAACTCAAGTGTTCCCAGAGATGGGAAAAAGGGCATTTGGCATGGTCAAGACCAAAGATTAGAGGGATTGTAACTGCAGAGGTGAGAGCCTGTGTGGATGGTGATTTGCTTTCAGCCTGGCTCTGAGAACCTACAGAACTGAGTCAAAATCATCAGCAGATTGGACAAATCAATGACTTGTCCACAGGGACAGATAGTGGCAGGGAGAGAGGTGAAGCAACTGAAGGAACTGGGAATGGATATTGAACATAGTTGATCTGAATGATGCTCAGACAGGCTAGTGCTCTGTCAATATGAGTTTGCAGAGAAATGAGCAAGCAGATAAAGTATGCCTTGGAAAGAGAGACACTGAGCTGTTTGCTCTGTTATTAGAGGAGCAGAGTTTGAAGCAATACTGCTGTTGCAGTTGGAACAAGTCACCATTTGATAAGCAAGTGTTTGCACAGCCCTTTTTCCAGGTGGTTGACTGCAAGCAACTTCCACCCTGGTAACTCATGGAGGTTCACCAAAGTGTCATTGCTTCTTTTGTAAGAGCTACAGTAGAGAAGTAAGCTTGGACCGATCCCCATAATTTTGAGGGAGGTGTTGGATGATGCTTCCATTTGTTTTTAAGTAATGTGGAAAAATGTAAAGGTTTTTATATACCTATATCTACACTTAAGTATATATACACATATTATATATGTACATACATATCTGATATGTATAGATTTTATGTATGTTCCAGTTATTGTATATATTATATCTATATAGTGTGTATAAAAAAACCTTTAATATCTTCAGCTAGAACCTTCTATAGGAGTAAAAAAGCTGCTCTTCTTTCTCCTGTCTTTAAAGGCTTGTAGATGAGGGAAAGGCTGTGTGTGCTGTGCCTGCAGCCAGACATGTGCTTTGCTATTGATGAGGGCAGAGAAAGTGTAGAAGGGTGAAATGTGCAGAGTGGAAAGAGGAGAAGGAGTATTAGCTCAGTCTAATGGCACTAGCTCATGTCAGGGAGTGCTAGACCCAGTGTTAGCATTACACATCAAAGGTGCACGATCACAGCACTGTCGCTTTTCCTTAGGCACTGCTCTGACCAGCAAGAAATGGGGTCCTTGGGGATTGCTTTGCTTTTAACTGTGAAACCTGTCTCTATCTGGGGATGGAGGCACCTGTCACAAAACCTGCTAAAATACTGGATTTAATAAAATACATCTGATAAATCCCAGGGAAAGGCAATGTGAATTCAGCATTTCAGTAGGCATCTGGCACTGGAAAAACAGTGTATTTGGCTTTTTCTAGTGTATGTGCTGTGTTTTTTCTTTCTAAGAGTGTTTCGTCTGGAAATGCTTACCAGCTTCCTTCCTTAGCAGAAACACTGAAGACTTAAAATGTGGAAGAAATCCTGCCAGGATAGTGTATTTTTTTTTTTTCTAAAGAGGATTTGGGATATGTTCTTCACAGTTCATATGCCTTCTTGCATTTCCAGACTTCTCATATATTTCTGTTAATGTAATCCTGAACTAGGATTCCCTCTTTGGAAAAGCTTGCTGATAGGTAAACAGAGAGCAGTATAAGGGAGAGCTGGTTTACAGCAAGTCTCAGAGAGGAAATTTTTGACCACCCCCAGTCTAGTATTTGATTAAATGCTGCATGGCAAGCATTCCTGACTGATACGCATATAAACAGAGAACAGAATTTTCTTCATCTATGATGCTTTTCATATTCAAGGTAACACAAATCTTGCACAAATGTTAATGTGAAAAATATGGCTACTGTGAGTGATTTCTTGAAGGGCATTAAACCCTCTACAGCGGTGCACACACTGGCTGCCAGCAAGTGGTTTTGAAATCCTGATAGCAGGGAGGGAATTTTGAGTTGGGTTGGCAGTCCTTTGGACCTTGGGTAGCTTTGCCCTCGTATGACTGATATGTATGTTCCTCAGTATGGAGGAGCTACAATTCAATTCCCTGTTTGTTTCACAAAAGATGTGATGAGCTGAAGCAACTTTGTAGAGAAGTATGCAGAACATAGTACCTTGAGAACCATATGAAGCATCATTTGTAGACTATTCCCGTCTGGATATTTCTCAGCAATGTTGGAAACAGGTAAGTTGAAGAGGTTGGCTCCTGTTTCTGTGCAGATGGCATGGACCAACATTTTCTTTCCAACACCAGCAGGCCCAGCTAGTAACAAGGCTTTCACCAAAGGAGCCTTCTCATGGACGGTTTGGGAACCTGTAAAAAGTCATATGGCACTATTATCCCTTTCATTTAAGTCTGCCAGAAATGTAATGATTCTTCCTTTTTTTCTTCACTACAAATAATTTATAATGTGAATTTATTGTTTCCTTAATATGACACAAGTGCTCTGGAGTTCAAATTTGTATAACCGGAGCTGTGGCCATAATACATTTCAGTTAACATCCCTGTTTGTAGCAAAACTCAGCAACCCTTATTTGTACCTTCTGATGGGCAAACTTCAGCTCTAAATCTATGTGAGCTAAAAGAACAGTAATTCATCAGTAAATCTGAGGACAACCAGAGGAGCACTGAAATGAGACTGCTGCTGGTGGCTGTGTGTACAGACAAGTCTGGTGCTCTGTGCAGGGACACCTGCCTTCAGTTACACAGCAGTTCTTAACTACCTCCCTCATCTGTCAGGTAGAGTTAGAGATGTATCTGTGGCTTTAAGCTTTGCATTTGTTATCAGACAGCCTTTTGCAATCAGACAGGGTATAGATTCATGTTACACATAGGACTAGCAGCATTCCTTCTTGCTGTCTGAAACGACACTTTCCAGCTTTCCTCTCTTTAAGGGAAACAAACTAATGGGGACTACCTGTTGGACTGCTTTTGTCAGTGATTTTGAAACCAGATGTTACCATGAGTTTTATTTTCCTCACTTTTAACTTCTGCTTGCACCTCCCTTTTTTGCTGACATCCCCTCTAAGCATGCCTGCCGAGTGTGTGTTAGCTCATCTCCAGAGGAGCCAATGTTATTTCCCAGTCTGGAGCATGGCAGCTGCATGTGGCAGAGCTGTTACAATATATCTGCTAGGAGAAGGTGCATCCTTTTCTAGAAAATCTGTGTGGGCATCACTTCTTCTGAAGGTCTTTGAGATTGGTGTCTATCAGGCTATGAGACTCTGGGAAGGGATGGTGATGGTGGGGGGAAACTAACCCCAAAAGTGATGGGCTGTGGAGGGAGCCTATGGCTTAGCCTGGAAAAGTTCTCTGGGTTAAGGGGGACAGCTAGGTAAGAATGGTATTTAAAAACAAATCCAATCAGGCTCCCTATCTGTGTCCTAATGGTTTCGCATCCCAAATAAATGACAGTGGGCTGAGTGCTAAGATGAATGCCATTATTTCAGCACTATGCAGGATATAGTGAAGTTGTCAGCCACCCAGGCTTTATTAATACTTGGTCGTTCCATACCAATCTATTACTATTACATGTAGATTTATTATGAGGGGAGCAGCAGACTCCTCTGTGGTTAAAAATGAAGTATATCTTCTACTATTATTTCTCTTTTCAGCTGTTTATAATTTTCTGAATGCCATTTAAGCTAGAGGTTTACTTGCCATCAGGTGACTATTTTGAGAAAAACTTTCACTTCTACACATATGCAATTATCTAATGATTAACTAGTTCTGAGGCCAATTAAGTAAAATGTCATCTGTAATATATCACCCAAAAGGTAAAACCATTTCTGCGCCTTTTTTGTCTCATGCAGGTTTTTTTTTTTAATAATCAAAGGCATTTTTCAACTGCTATTGCAAATACAATCTGTTTGTTTAACTAGTCCAGGGTCTCTTCTCCCTAGATTTTTAGCCAATTATATAAGTGGCAGAAAATTTATGGGTTCTCTTTCCTCTTGCCTTGGGGGGGTGCTTTGGGGCTTGATTTCACTAGATCAGATGGTGTTAAACCATAACCTTGGAGTAGTTATCTGATATGTGAAATACCACATTGCAGTCTCTGCAGAGAGGGATAACTTCTGAGTGCTCTCCCAGCTGACTGTGGTCAAACTTGCAGCTAACCCCTGAGGGTTTACCCAAAACCAGCTGAGAATTTTTTTACATGGGAAAAGCTCCACCTAGGTTGAAGTCGGGGATGCTGCTTGCATCCTGTTTGTTAACTTGATTCTTCAATTTGAGCTGTAGGGCAGAAAGAGCACTCTTCTCTGCCTGAAACCCAGATGAAGCAGACTTGTGTGCTATTGCACCAAGCTTTCTACAACAAATCAAGCCTGCTTTGGGGACAGAGGGAGCCAAGAAATGCCGGAGGAGGGTCACTAAGCATGTACATACAGCCTGAGCGCTGGTCTTTCTGGAATGCATGCAAAGGGGAGGGAAAAGCAGAAGCTCTGTGTCAACTCTTCGCTATTTGCCAGAATGGGAGGCAGGGAGACGTCAGCTATTTTGCCCTATAAAGGGGATCAGCAGACAATGACACAGCCTGGGGAAGGATATGCCTAAGTAAAATCTCCCTGAAATTTTTCCAATCAGGAACGGAAAGCGATGCGAGTGAAGTATGAGTAGAGGCCATTGAGACAGCCACTTCTTGCAATCAGTAGAGTTTGGCTTAATACTATTCCCAAGTAAAATATGGGATATATTTTACATTAAAAGCAAGCAACCTGACCCAGCAAAGCCTTGTTAGGTATTGGCTAAGTCTGGCATTAAAACTGCAAAGGCATTTAAAAGTGTTCTCTCTGATGTACAAAATGTATTCAGACTCATTCTTTAAATGATTGCGTTGTTTAGTACTGAGTAACATTAGCCAGCTTGTAAAAGGTAAATTGCAACCTTAGCCCTTCCCTTAACTTGATTAATTTTGATCACTGGAGCTTGTTTTAGCTATTATCTTTCCCAAGTGATTTCCTTTTATGTGCTGCCATTCACAAACTGTTAACATGCAAACAGACATGGTATGGAAAAGCAATACCTGACAATAGCATGTGCGAGCTCCTTTATGCACTATTAAAATGATATGGTCTTCACTCAGAAGGCTTAATTGAAAAACAATTATACTGCAAAATGCTTTAGATTACGATTAATCAAGCCCTGTCAAAGCCAGTAAAAATGCATGTTACTGACAGGAAGCAAAGCCATTGTATTCTGCCCTCTAGTAATTTTTGCTGTGCTCTTACCTAATGGCAATATTCCATACAGCGCTATTAGCTGTCTGACATCCGCGAGAGAGGGCATTGGTTCTCTATCTACCTGCTCAAGTGCACTCCCCAGATAGCTGTACTCGCCTGTAGGGAGGAAGCATGGGCTTAATAAATGTGACACTGCATTGTTATAAAATGCATAACTCGAGTAATGAAAAACTACCATAGCATACCAATATAACATGCTCTCAGCAAACCCAGTACTGTCAAGGGACAGAGACTCAAACAGGGCAATATTGTTGTGGAATGTGGCCCTGAGAAATTTGAAAGGTGAACTGCAAAGGAAAATGAAGTTAAACACACCACGGACTTTCCCTTCCAGGCTGTGGAAGGTGTTCAGCAGAGCAGTCGCTCTTGAGTAACCTTTTAAAGAAACTTTGCGAAGAAGAATCATTAATAACACTATAAATCATGCTACTGGCAAAGGATTTCTAGATTTGGGATTTTGTAGGACTGGGATCGCAGTGAACCACGCTCTATCAAAAGCATTTCAAAAAAGAGGAAAAGATATTTTAACAAGCTTTTCCCCTGGCTGCATCACATCTCAGCTTCTCACTGTGTGCTCATTTAAAAGTGCCACCTAATTTGGTGGGGCTCTTTGCTTTGCAGTTCACCTTTTTTGTTAAAAAAAACCCCACAACCCTCTACAAAAACAACTCAAGAAAACAAAAAATCTCCTACATGAACTGAAATGATCTAATCTTGCCTCAGCTCTCGTTACAGAGCCATAATCACATTGCTTGCCTTGTCGAAGTCCATATACAGAACATGTTAGAGAACAAAGATCCAGAAGGATGGGCTACAAGCAGGAATACTAGTTGTGACGATGTAGTCAGTTACAATTTTTTAGCATAAATTACATATCATTATGGTGAATATTATTATTGAAAAATAACATTGTTATGCTTTATTGCAGATAAAAAGGGAGAGCACTAGAGGTCTCTGGAGCAGAGGTAAATTAGCAAGGGTTAAGAGAGAACGTGGAGTTGTAATTTGGGGGCAAGAAGGCAGGCAAGCCCTGGTGCAACTGCCCCCTCCCCTCTGAAGAATAAAATTCATTTCAGGTTTTATCTTTTATTTAAGGAGAAATCAAAGGAACTGGATAGAAATTAATCTTCACAGATTTAATTAGAAGGCATCAAAGGGTTTAATTGCAACTGAACATAAATCACAGTGGATATTCTCTGACTAATTTAGATAAGGTCACCAAGAAAATTAGTTCAGTGATGTCAGTTTGTCATAGAGGGGGGACATTTTGGTGCCTTTACTTGCTGCGTAGTGCAATTCCACTCTTTGTCCTTTTCCCAGGAACTGGGAGTGAGTGACCTTCCTGAGACTTCAGCCCTGTAAGAGCTGAGCAGATGAAGACTTATTTTTCTGCAGGTTTTGACTGTGTCCTTGGAACATTAAAGGGGGAGGTTTTTTTGGCATTTTAAAAAAAGTTCGGTCTAAATCCTAGGCCAATTTTAAATGCCTTTTGTATCTTGTTCTGACAGCTCAAGAAGCATGACTGAGTTTTGAGTGGGGAAGAGCTGGCTTTGACAGCCTGGGTGACCTCCTTGCTGCCTGGTCTGCATGGGCCAGCATCTGGCATGGGGGTAGGCAGCCAGGTGAATATTCCTATACTTTACACTTCTGCGCCCAGTATCTTCTGCTTCTGGGAAGTGAATGTTGCTAGTGTCACTTGGAGCAGCATTTGTGTTGCTTTACACTGCAAAGGAGCCAAGGCTTCAAACCTCAGGGTTAAGGAAAGATGGCCCAAAGCCATCTCAGCCTGTTTCCAAGTTTAATGTTACAAGCTGTTAATTATTATCCACTGGCTAAGATGTGCTTTCAAAACATCTGTGGTAAGGAATGTCTGTTGGACAGAAGTGACCTTGATGTTACTGGTTGAGTGAATGGAGGAACAATGAAAGTTTTCCATTTCTTTACTTCATGATCTTTACTGAGCAGAAAATAGATGGAATTCTTGTTGATTCAGCCTTCAACAGAGGGGGCAAAGGGTCTGAAGGCAATAATTGGTGCTTCTAAGAGTTTATATGAACACAGCATTTAGAGGTGATGTATGAGAATTCCGCTTTTCTGGCTTGGATACATACTGAACTAACAGCCAGTGCCTTGTGGTTTTCTGGATGCCTGCGCGTTCAAATAATGGTTGCCTCTGAAACAACTGAATTTAGGGGTTTTTTTTGCTACTAAGGTTGCTGTGACTTTACGTCACCAAATGCTTTTGGAGATGGTGTCAGACCCCTGTGTAGCCTGCAAGTGTGGTGTGTTTTGGGTTGGTTTTTTTTTTTCCCTTTCTCTGTGTAGACCATGGGCAAGTGTGTCTGACTGCAGCTGCAGGTAACAGAAACTGGGCAAGAGGACCATGAAATGCAGAACTGGGCAGAGACACATCTTACTCAGATCAAGGGCCAGATATGCCTCAAAGCGCTGCTCAAAGTTCAGGGGCAGTCAGGGTGGTGTCAGTAAGGGGGTGGGTCTTTGCTGAATGCACAGATGCTGAAGATGTGATTTTTGCTGTTCTTTAGGAAATACGCTGAACAGATTATGACTGCCAGTCTGTTATATTTGCAGTGTCTTGCTAATGCCTGGCCAGTGTTCCTTAAAGGATGCCCTGCTTTGTGATATCCAAAAACACTCAAGGCTTCCAGGTTGCTTGGAGCCAGGCCAGCTCTACAAACAGGTCCTGGTTTCTGCAGCAGAAGTGAAAGATACTAAGTGCCCTACAGAAACAGACTTAATTTGCATACATGGCTTTAAAGTTTAAAAGTTCTGAAAGTGTAATTACTCTTGAACTCACTCTTGACTGGAAATAGGGGTCACTGAACATTGAATGGCTGGAAGTTTGGTTAGACTAAACACTATTTTAGCTGTAAAATGTATACTTTACCAACATAATCGGAGAGATTCACGGTCTCAGCTTTTATTAGTAATCCTTTCTCCACTAGTTCTTTGTACAGAGAATCGATGGTCCTGTGGACAAGAGACATCACTCAGAATTCTAAGGCATTGTAAGTAAAGGCTTAGTCCTTCAATAACTGAACTAGCTTCAAAGTTATTTATGCTTCGTCAGCTTTATAAATGTATTTTGTAGCTCAGAGGTAAAGGTGATTAGCTCCATCAATATGAAATCAATAAGTACCATCTTCTGTGTGATGGCAAGGAATCTCTTTTACTACCTCACACGCCACGTGGCTCCCTCTCACACAGATTCTGTTACCCGTTTCCAGGTGATGCAAGATCAGTTATGACTTGTGTAATAGACTCATTCATTAATATCAATTACTGGGAAATTATTTTTAAATTATATAATAATAGCAATCCTAATGCTACGATACCTATTCACTTAGCTCTCCAATTAGCAGTAATTCATTAATTCTTCCCGGAATTTAGTCTGTTTGCAATAGACAGCCTCATCTTGTCAGGAACATACTGGGAATGACTCCATCAGATCAATCAGTGGTCCATCCACTGCAGTGTTAGTGTGATGCTGGCCAAAGAAGGACTAGGGGGGAAAATATACTTTATGCCATAACTTTTCCAGTGGAACCATTTCTTCCTATCTCAGTTGGTGTCTGGAAATAGCTTCCAGTAATTGAGGATTTAATACACTTACATTTGTCTCCAGTTTTCTATTGGTGTGGATGTCCTCCTTAGTCTCTTTTAGAGTCCTATCTAAATATTAATTCCAATGACATTTTTGGCACTGGGCTCTACAGATTCACACTGATTCAAGAATTATATAAAATGAGTAAGCCTGTTGGAAATTCTTACATTGTTAGTATAAACAACATTGATTTGAACCTTTCTAGGTCTTTCGCTGTTTGTGCACTTTTTACATCCTTCCCCTAAGCTTTTTTTGTCTTTGTTGCATATCTTAACCGGGACATTCTGGTATTGCTACAATTACAGTATTTAATAGTAACTCTCACCTGGCTAATAAAGCCATATATATAATTTTAAGTCTGCAGCCTTCTTCCATTTCAGCTGGGAAGTTTTATGTTTATGCAGTGTTAGTGGCACAATTAATATAGGAGTAGTAATAAGGAAATACAAAATCTAATGCACCTTCAGCAACGTTGATTTTGCCACTCTGACTCTTGCTTTCATTCTCAGTGATATTATGTTGGAGTATGCATCATAAAACAAGGAGTAGGTAGAATGGGACTAACCTGACAGTTCTGTTGGGAGCATGACTTCTACTTCTCCTGTCTTACTATTTTTACTGTGCAAGCTTAATGATGCATACCCTGAGTCTCCTTGAAGTAAGTGTGATGTGATCAGTCTCTGACTAAAGCCCCCTGTGGCCCCTCTACCATGTCAAAAATGAGATGAACCTGAGCTTTTCTTGGTTATTTCTGAAATACTTCCTCCTTCCCTCCTCAGCAGGGAAGAGCAAAGTATCAGAGCCAAAATACCACATAAACTCTGATTAAAAGCCAGCTACTAAAAACCTTGTGTTATTAAATGGCTGCATATTGTATTAAGTTTGTTTGTAAGAAGCAGATATGTGCAAGAGTAATTTTAAAAGCACAGAATACTTGTTAGACTTTGGCAATGTTCTTGTAATAGGTGTTTATGCTCTGTTATACTCCATAACATGTTTATTTGAAGTATCTGCCTGGAGAGGTTTTTTCATATTAAAGCAGGTAAAGAGATAACTGACTGTGTAGTGCTAGCACTCAAATGATTTAGTCCAGGTCTTGCTGTGCATGTCCTGTACAAATGGATTTGCAGGGTGAATCCCATGTGCTTCCTCCTGCAATGATTGAATGTGTTTGTCTTCACGCTGCTCTCCAGCCCCAGGAGCTGGGTCTGCTCCTGTCCTGCACTGCTGCTGGGTCAGCAGGTCCCAGCGGTGATATCTCTGTGTAGGTGTCTGCGTTATGTATACAGGTGAAAAATGGCTGGATTATCAGTGACTACATCATGAAAATGTAATGTCAAAATAAGAAATCCTCTCAAATCCTCCAAATAAAATAAGGGTGCTTAAAAGAGCAAAGATACATGAGAAATTGCCAGGTCTGCCAGAACTCTTATTGATAAATAAGACTGATTTATATGACATGTCCATTATGCCTCAGACAAGAAGGGTAATTTATAGAGTACAGGGCCTGTCTGCAGCCTCCATTATCAGACTTCAGCTGGTATGGAAAATCTGACAGTCAACAGAACTGCCAGGTGCTCCTGCACCTGCAGAGAGGATGGGAAAGAGGCAAATGGGGACAATATTCTAATATGGTACATGTGCTTAGCTTTGCATACTGGAATTAACCTGGCTGAGTTAATGGAGACTGACCCTAGTGGTGTGTTGTGGCAGAATGGGGATCTTAATGTGTATGTGTTGTCAATGGGGGAAAAACAAAAAGGTCTGTGCTGTGTACCATTAAAGCAATGTTTTGTTGCCCTGTTATTTGTGGTGCTGCAAAGCCAATGGTTGGGTAGAGGTGGTGGGAAGGTTGTGGTGTTTGCTGGGAATGCAAAAAAGGTTTTAGCTAAAGTATGTGCTTCAAGTTTGTGAAAGATTTCTTTTTTTCATGATCTAGACTTTTAATGGATGTTTATAGCTGTTAATAGAGAGGTTTTATTTATTGTAGGGCTTCTGATGCTGGCAAGTATAGCAGCGTTGGGATGCTTCTTGTGTAATTAAATACTAAGAGGGTTCACTGCATATCTAATGTACAGAGGATGCAGCCTCTCAATGTCTGAATCTCAAGTAAACAGAGACTCCTTACCTGTCAGGAGTTAGATCTTCCTCCAATTGGTTTCTCTTTTTCTTTGTGGTCGTTGTCTTTTTCTGAGAACCATAAGAATAGGCTGAAATTAGTGACCTTAGTACAGTTACATATGTTTTAATGTACTGGAGCAAAGCGAGGGCCGGAACAGCAAATGTTTCAGTGTCTGAATGTGGCTCTCACTACTGAAGAACCCAAAGGGAAAAATACTATCCCTGAACGCCCTGAGGGAAGAAAGTCACGTCCTCATTTATGAAGGCGCACGAGATGTTCCCATTTATAAGTACCTCACCAAGGCACAGGAGAGATGAAGCACCCTGGGTTGAGGAGCTGTGTCCAACTCATGAATCTCATGCAGATCCTGTGGCAGATGTTCTTGAACTGGACTCTGCATAAAGTAACCTGGTGACTGTTGCTTCCTTCTAGAAAAGAACTGCTCAGGGAGGCTGTTGAACTGACCTGCAGCTGCCACCTCCACAGTGAGTGCCTAGAGCACTGTACTCCAAAGTGATTCTCCTGCCCCTTCTAGTGGAGGCTGTGTACGAAAGAACCCCGGGGTCATTTGCTTTGGGAGAAAACTTTTCTCCTTCCTTTTTGGAGAACAACTCTGTGGTTGAGTGGGTATGACCCTTACCCAGGAGAGAAACAGGAAGGAAAAGGGTGTGGGATCCAAGTAGCTGCTCCAGATACTGTTCATGCTTTTTTTAGATTGAGGTAAAAGATATAAGCAGCTTCCCCTGAGGGTCATGCAGGGTGCTTAGAGCTGGACTAGGACCTGAAACCAACCCTCCTGAGTCTCTGGCCAGTCTCCTAACCATTAGACAACCTTCTGCCTTCTCTTTCCTAATGCCTCAGGGAAGAAGCTTAAAGAAGTCAGAAAAACTTGACCTGCTCTTCTCTTGATATTTTCACTATGCTTACACTATGGGAAGATTTTTGTCTTTTGTGACTAGTTTCTTTACATACTAGAAAAAAATCCATGGAAAAACATAAATAAGAAAGATGTGAATCAGTAATATTAGGCCCCTCCATTAATTACAGCTCACAAGCCATAAATACGGTTAGGGAGAATTAGTAGAGGAGAGGGCATCAGTAATCCAATGCTAGTGCCTACCGCTGGTGTCCACACTGAAGTTCTGCAAAGTACTTAAGAATTACTTCAGTGGAACTATTTACAGAAAAACATTTGCGCACCATGGGACTTCTTCAATGACTTAAGTTTAAGCATGTGCTTAAATGCTTAGTTGATCAAGACAGCTTATTCTTTCCAAAAGTTTGTTTGCTTTCTTGGGAATACAGTTGTTTATTTTTTTAATACCTCTGCACAGCTCTCAGGCTATGTTGTTGATTTAAAAAATCCTACCCAATTATCTGGAAAATGCTGTGGTGGGTGTTTTTTGTTGGGTTTTTCTCCCCCCTCTCTAGACTGGATCAGCAGTGTTCAAAAATATATCAGCTGCAAGTTTTCAGGGACAGTCACAATATAAATAACTTATGGTTCAATCACCTGTTACTGTTTACAATGCAACGAAGATAATCTAGATGAAAATGTAAAATAAACCCAGAACTATGTAGATAAGCTAACTGGGAAAAGGTGTTGTTTTCAAGTTCTGGATTGGAATAATGCAAACAACTCTGTATCTGCAGAACTGCACCTCAGATTTCTTTGCATAAATAAGCTTGGCAGCAAATACTCATTAGAATGTGACAGTGGGGTTTTGTTTTAAAGAAAAGGAATGGGAAGAACAAAGCTTATGCCATGCTGTTTTAACAACTGAGGTAATACTGAGACTGTCAGCGGTTTATTTCTGGTGTTCCTCCAGCTTTGTCTCTTTAACTTTTCTTCCAACAAGCCAGAAATTACATATCATGGGGTCTGACTGGGAAGAAAAGCTCATTTCTACCTATGGAAAGACACTAAGCATATGTTGAATTTATTGGCCGACTGGTATTGTCCTCAAGGCAGCTTCACCAATAAAGTAACTCAAAAGCAAAACAAAAATGAACTGTGCAGGGGAAAAAATGTGTTTTCCTAATTAACATCAGCATTTATGGGAAATCTGGCAAACACTGAGATGCAGTAAGGGGAAATATGAATTGTAGACAATGGCTTTCCTCCAAAATGTCTTATTGGGAACTGCTTTTATTTAGAAAATGATAATGTTTAATGAATGTGAACATGCTCATCATTTATAATGGAAATCTCCTTGTTTCCATCTCTGAAATATCAGTCTAGCTTCTGTGTAGCCATCCATTTACTCGGCTATTTTCTGCTTTCATAAGTCACATGTAGTGAACTGCATTAGCTATTAGCTGGCAGATGACAGAAAACTGTCTTCTGTGCTCAGTGTGGTATCTTGTCTTGCTGTGTGGGCTCATGAAAATGTTTTGAGTAGCTCAGAGGTTGCTATGAACAAACATGGACTTGATTTCAGACCAGATTCCAGAGCAGAGTCTCTCTGGCACCAGGAGGGAGAGGGTAGCCAAAATGTCTCATTGAAGGAACTGTTCCATGTTGAAAGTGCAGGGTCTTTGTCACCCTTTGGCTGTGATCATACAAGTCCTGCTGCCATTAGCTAACCACAGCTACTGTCACCAAGAATGTGGAAAAGTAACAAGAGGAAAGTACTCTTGTGGTTTAAGGGAAATGACAGTGTATGAGCAGCAGTGGATGCCTTGGATCACGTGTGATGCTTGGATGGGAGACTAAACAAGAGCAGATTTGCACTGTGTGCGCATCTGCTCTGAATTGAGATGTCTTTTCTGGCAATGTCAAGATACAGCTTCTGATACCTGTACTAAAAAAGTCCCTAGACAAAGATGTTCGTGCTGATTATTAAGTTCTTGCTAAATGAGCGGCTCTGATCTGTAATCCCTGTTGGGTTTAGCTATAGCACCCAAAGAGTTTGCAGCCCCCACAGCTGGTTGAGAGCTCTGGGTGCTAATCTCCAACTACAGAAAATCCACAGAGATTGTGAATCACTGTTCTCAAACCCAGCCTTTCCCCAATTCTGACCCAGCCTGTCTTCTGGCCTTATTAACTATGGCTTTGCTCTTATCAAATCTTTAGACTCATGTCAATATTCTTGTCATAACCATTGCTATAGTTGACCTCTTGTGGTGATCTTTGCTTCTGCCTGGCTGCATCAAAAAGGCATATTCAAAGCTGCATTGAGATGCTAGCAAGTCCTATTTCAGAAACAATTTTCACACACTTAGGTTCTCATGTCCCTTCTTTCTGGTTTGTGGGTGGTTTTTTTTGTGTTTTTTTTTTTTTTTTCCTGAATTCTGGCCATGCCTTTGTGTATGTGTGGGTGTGTTCACTTTCAATGGGTTGCTTTACCTGCAGTTGGATGAGAAACTAATCCTTAAGGGAGCAGAACAGGAAAGCAACACAATGAGCTTGATAAAACGCACTCTGATAAGCACTCAAATGTGACTTCCAGACCAGTATCTGCAGAGAGCTGATCTGTCAGTTCTTATGTTGGGTGGAAAGCCTGTTTAAAGCAGCTAGATCTGTGATGGTTTCCTTGACTGGAGATTTCCAAGAGAAACTCTCTGGGCTGCTAAGCCCTCTGGGTGCCATGGTTAGTTGCATGACACCCATCTAGAAGAAGTACTTGTAAAGATGGTGGGTTGTTGAACCAACCCAGATCAGAAGCTTGGACTGTCAGCAGAACGAGATGGACTGAGAAGAACAACATTTCACTAAAAGTTTGTGCTGGCACAAGGATGTCTCCAACTTTTTAGAAATCAAATACTTGGGAAAGTTCCTCTTTCATGTCAGATGTTTTATAAGAGGCTCCTTTAGGCTGGGTGGGGACTTAAGACCTTCTGACATCTCTTTGCCAGCTTTCTTAGACATCAGTGCCATATCCCTCACTAGAAGGCACCTTCCCTTCAAATCTTTCATCAGTCTGCCTTTACATGGGTGCTTAAAATCCTAGCTTGCTGCTCCATGGCTGGCTGGGCAGATGACAAGCTGCCACTGTGCACAGGGGAAAAAAATGCAATTCTCAGCAGAGCTGAACTGCAATCTTTTATTTCTGTTGTATCCTCATCCCCTCTTCTTTGACAGTCATCAGATCGAGAGCTATCTGGAGCAATTGTAGCCTAGCACTGTGTGTCTCTGAACAAGGACACTTGCGCTTTATACGCCATCATGCTGGACTGTAAGGACAAACAGTGGGACAGTCTGTGGGAAGAGATGCTTCCAGTACAGATACAGGCATATGAGATCTGTGCATCAAATGATAGCAGTGTGGCTTGTTGCATGTTAGGTGTAATCTAATTAGTCTAGATATTTCCAGACCAGCCTAATGGACTGGAGACCCATTTGTAATGAGAAAAGCAATTTGTCCTTCCACCCAAAATGATTCTTCCCCAAAGGTGGGAAATGGGCTTTTTATCTCAGGGGCAGTAAGTGCAATTCTTGATAGGGTTAAGTGTAAGTTTTTAGTATTAAGTAGTATGTGAAGGTATGGGAGCAAGTGATAAAGTTCAGCCTAGAAAGCATGGTGCATACAAATAAAGGAGTGGCCTTACACATATGCCTGGAGCTGTTAAATTTTGTTTATCTAAGACCTGAGCCATCTGAAACACAACTGGGAAGGAGCAATTGGGCTTTCTTATGCTTTCCTTTTGAATTCCAAAATGTCCTTGATTAATTCCTCACAGGAGGGACTTCCAAACAGGATTTCAAACTGAAGTTTTCCCATGGGTCAGGTAGACTTTTTTTAATATGGACTTGACAGAATTTGCTTTAGAGTTGTAAACTACTTATGCTAAGGTGAGCTTGAAAAGGCAGAGAACATCTATCCAAACTCCACTTGTAAGAGTTCACTTAAAGAAACACCCTTGCTGCCTATTCCCCGCTGATAGTGTGCAGAAAAAGGGTTTACATTTTCTGAAGAACATTGAATCTTCTTGAGGCTACTTTGTAGACTATCCCTTCCTTTTTTTTCTTTTTTTTTGGGGAGGGGAGTTTTATATCATGCTCCATACATGCTTGTGGCTAAAATGAGAACCCAAGCACTGTTATTTCACATTGTATAGTTGAGAGGGAGACATACGGGACCTAGGATGTGGTAACACGCACCTTGGTAAAACTAGAGGATCTCTGCCAAATAACAAATTAATAAGCAGCTTCCAAAACCTTCCAGCTCACATTATTCTTGTTACACAGGTCAGATTTTTATAAAGCAGATCTGAAGTCTGTGTGCACAGGTATGCACACACACTGTTGGTTTATGGACTGAGATGTTTATGTAAATACTACTTAGAAAAAGCCTTTTCTAATGGTGATTGGACATTTCAAACAGCTTTGCACAGGGAATATGTATTTTAACTAAAACTGGATACCTTCATCCATTCTCCACTCCTAAAATAGAACTGATTCTTTTCAGAGAAAATCTTTAGGGAACTTGTTTCTTAACTAGTACTACTTTCTCCTCTTCTCACCTCCCTCATTCTCTCAGGCTACTGGCACAACTTAGCAAAACAAAAGTTAAATAACCTCCCTCCACCCAAAACCATTTCAACATTACATTGAAGGAATAAACCCGTAACATAAAGCTTTATAATTTCAATGTGACATTTTGAAGTAGAGTTTTGACCAGCTGATCTGAATGCATCTGCCCATGGCAACTTTGGGGAAAACTGCTGCAATGCTTTGTCTGTGTATCTTAAACCTATTTTTGAAATAGTTTTAGCATTCCAGTTGGTATCAGTTTTCAGAGTTGCTCCAGTCTTGCATTACTGAATTGCCCCTGCACCTTTGTCAGGTGGAAGATAATTTTTAAAGATAATTTGAGTAGAATTATTGCAACTGCAAGTATTTGCATGCTGAAAGGATTATAGAAATGAAATACAACGTGAGATTAGGGTTAGCTATTTGCCCCAAGGATTTAACGTGGAACTGCTGATTGAATAGTAGGGGCTGTAAGCTTTGAGTTATTTTACACTGACATGATCTATAATTTAAATGCTTGGGTAAGGAATTCAGAGAACTGCAAGCTGTGGAATTCTGCATAAGGTAATGCTGTGAAACTAGATGTGAACATGACATGTACTGTGTTTCAGTGGGTAACACAGATTAAAAGAATTTCTTTAACCAATTTTATATGCTTAAATAAATGTGGCTTAATCACAAGTTCCCAAACCCCTTAATAGTAAGTAGTAACACAGCTAAACAATGTGTACCTGGCTGTATGTGATCTATATGTTGTTACAGATAAATGAAAGGTTACACCATGACATACAAAATGTTTTTTTTTTTGTGTGTGTGTACAGTTCTGAAACACATTAAGCAGCCCTCATTTAGAAGGACAACAGCTAGCACCTGGAAAACTTACTGGCACAGCTTGTCACCTTAAAGAGGGGGACTGCTTGGATTTTCCTGTTTGACTGGATCAGAGGATTTCAAGAGGGTGTGTATCACTCTTGAAAATCTCATCTATCTTGTAATGATTTGTCTCTGGAATAGTTCAACTTGTCCTAAACAATATTTATAAAGGTTAAGGAATAATAATAGCTAAAGAAAAAGGCCCTGAAGAAAGCCACAGGTGAATGGATTTTCAAATGCTTCTGACCTAAGACTCAGTAAATGCTTAAAGTAGATGTTTTGATACCAGTATCTGTGAGACGAAGGTTTGCACTGAATACCACTGCGTGAGGGAAGAGAACTGATATTTATTCTGAATTCTTGCAACTTGCTGCTCTTACCTTTTTACTTTTTCTTCCTTTTTTCGGTTTGCTCTTCTCTCCATCCACAATCAGTCTCAGATTCTCCAGTTTCTGTCGCATCAATGCATCAACCTATCCAGACACACACAGTTAAACTTTTCTGAAGTTTTCTGTTCTGCCACCACACCTCAGGCAAATGTTCAGCTAAACAAGTGTTAAAGCAACGAACAGACAGTAGGGACTCTGGAAGAAGGTAAGGTCTATGCCAGGGCCAGTTCTTACAGCTGTAGAGAAATATACACAGGGAATGCATGTTATTAGTGTCCTCTTACTATTGTAACCACACCTGCACTCTGATTTCTTCCTCCACTTCTTCCCGTTTCTCTGCTTTGATCAGCTCTGGGTCATGATCCTGGAGAGAATCCCATCTTCCGTCTCTCTTCTGCCAAAAGGCTGTTATCCAAAAGAAAGAAAAAAGGGGGAAAAGTTACAGAAACTATTGGTCTCTCCATCTACTTCTGGAGGCAAAAAAATAAGTAGCTGTAGGCAGTTTTTATTAAATTATTAGCTGTATGAAAGTAGCAGGCTCTAGGGACCTTTACCAACTTCAGCGCCCTGTTGTGCTAGGATGTGTAAATCTTGAGGTTAACATTTTTGTCTTGGGTTGTATCACATTTCAGGAGGCTAATGGGATAAGGAGGTTGTCATTTTCTGGTTGTAAAGCCTGGAGTGATGTTCACCTTCAAGAGCAGGTAGTTACAGTATCAGCCAAACCATAACATGCCTGATGCTGATATTCTTTTTCTTGCTGCTTAACAGCACTGTGCTTAAATCTTTACCGTGAGGAAGTCAAAGATGACTCCTGTCCTGAGAAGTGTGTCTCTATGTGTTTTTCTTGGCTGGCATAATGCAGGCTTGGGGACCAAAGGAAGGTGTTTAATTTAAACCGGGTTTTTAACTTGTTCTCTCCTACTCAGTTATCTAATGTTAAGTTAAAGCTGCTGCAACTTTGTGAGTTAGCCTTTGTAGTAATTCACGTGAGGCTGAAATGTGGCCCAGGAGCACTGGAATAGGCATAAAAGCCTGCCCAGAGAACTTGGAAATGGGAGAGTGAGGGGACAGCAGGTCTGACAGAGCAATAATCTGCACATAACCTACAGGTGATGTACAGCCATACAGAGTTTTAGCTTTGGGGAGTTTTAAGCTTGATGCAGTAATTGAGAAGCAGTGGAAGTCTTTTCCAGAAAGAGACAAGGCCCACTTGATACAGTACCTCTATTTCTTAGTGTTGTGTAAAGGACAAGCCATAAGGAGACCTAGCTCTAGGAACAAAGCAAGGTTGTGCAAACTGATGATAAAGAAAATCCTGTTTATGACAAAGTAGCAAAATGATCCTGAGGTGCAGCTCTTTATTTTTATTGAGGTAAACTGCAATTCCCTCTTTAGGAAGAAAACTAAATTAAGTCTGGCGAGCTTGATGCAGATCTGAATTCTCTGCTGGTAGCAGAAGGTACCTTTTTAATAGAAACACCTCTCTACTTTCTACGGGGTTTTTTGAGCTATTTTAAAGAAGGACAATTAATATCTTTCATTTCCTTGCATTTTAAGCCCTGATAGTATCTTTATAAATGACAGCTAATCTGGAGTAGTATGTGCTAATTCAATTTCCAGATGATTTAAAATGACAGCTTTCCACTTCAAGACATAGACCCCTTTATGAATTTGTTTTGTACAGGGTACTCTTTCCTGTACCTACTGCCATTTCTAAAGCACTGTAAAATCAGGAAGGTTTTCACAGTATCCATAGGAGATTAATTCACGTTTTAGTCCAGTTAATACAATCCTCTACAAATTTTCAGAGTTCAATTACGTGCAGAGTATTTGTGGCTTTACACATAGGGAATAGTTTTCGCAGGTGAGTGGTCTTAATTTCGTAACAGAAAATGGTATAGATGGAGAAGGACAGTGGATTTTTTGGTAATGAGAAAAAGAAACTCAGTTGTGGACAGTAATTTCTTTAAATTACTTGCAGGTCATCAGATGGCATGACAGATGTCAGGTAATATTTCAAGAGGGAAAGCTGATTTGCCCTAGTTAAAAGGTACCTCCTCCAGGGTTACCAGCCTGGAATTTCAGCCTTGGGGAAAGGGGAATATTACACGGAAGTTATGTGAATTTTTAAACAGTTTCCTGACTGGGTCAACAGGTTGCAAGTGCTATGTTTTCACAGGAGCACTAGATTTTAGATATTTATTTTTCATAGAGGGATCCATAGATTTTTATTCTGTTTTGTTGGGTTTTTTTTAATAATTATTTATTGTCATTTTGTAAATTGATTAGTGGTTAATATCCACTGCAGGCAGACCAGTGACAGTCCCTACAGCTTAGGCAGCTGCCTTTGATATTACCTGGCATGAGGTTTTCGAGTGCTATATTAGCCACTAGGTTAGAGGCCCTAATTTTAGAAAAGAGCTCAATAACTCATAGGTGCTAGATGCTATGTTGTTCTTTTATAGATCAACAATGTTTCAAAGTTATTTTTAAAGTAAGGTCAGGAGGCTAAGGATGTTATGTTTTCACCGGCTGGTCAAAAGAGCCTGGTATTTTGTTACAGAAAGGGTCATCCAGCTACGGGAGCTATTTCTGTGCGTGTGCGTATGCAGTGCAATTTATATCACCTCTTCTAATATAGTGCATGCTTATCTTTGGATTATTTTATATGCATACCTCTCTAGTTCAGGACTTAAAAGATAGCCCAGTCCACTAACATGACTGCTAATATCACCATCACAGTCATATTAGTTTTCATTCTGCAGACGAGTAGATAATTCCAATATCCCTGAATGGATTCCAGAGAACAGCTTGTGACTAATAATTGAAATACATTTATCTGAAGCATGAAGCTTTTCTTAAAATAACTGCTTTCAACCTCCTGGCAAAAGGACTTGAGTCTTAATGCCTGGTTAAAAATACATAGCAACAACACACCTTAAAGTTTGGGCCATGGGGTGTTTGGGTTGAATTCAAATGTCCTCTGCTGCACTGAGCAAGGCAAATATCAACTGGTTATCTGCATAATAGGGGAAATACCACACTGCTGCCTCACAGGACAGGGTACTGCAAAAATAAACCTCAGGAAGATGGAGACAGTAACTCAGACTGCTTTCATTTGCTCCACATAAACTCTTGTTCTTCCAATGTAAAAGTAGATGTCACATAGAAACTGGCTGTTTCCAACAACTGTATATAAAATAAGTGTTTTGGATAGATCTTGGCAAATGTAGTTTAGCAGCTAGCAAATCTGCCAAATACAATTTTAGGAGAATAAAAGTCTTCATAAATGCCAGTGAAGTTTAGGTGGTATTGCTAGCTGGATAGAATGGGGGATATAATTGGGGTGGAATAATCTGTAACTTAAATGCTTGTATCTCTGTGAAAACTGATCTACATATTTTTAAAAAGTCAAATAACCTAAGAACAAAAGAACCAGTTTCAGAGGTTGGGAAGGCTTTCTTAATTTTAAGTGTTGAGGGGTGGGTGTGTGTGACAAAACAAAAAATGCTTGTTTTTTGGTCAGCTATCATTTAGGTAAACTTTAGACATGCTCACAAAGGTCTTTAAATTATTCCATTGTAGGTATGTGATATAAACCTTTCTGAATTAAGCTCCCTTACTTCAATGAAGTGCTTGTGAATGAGGCAAGGGACTGTGCTGCATGGAGGAATTAACAGGTGTTTACTAAAAATGAATATGGTGTTGAATGGACTTAGTTCACTAGGAGGAAAAAAAAAATACCTGAAATTTAATTGAAGAGCTGTAGGCTCTTACTGTGCATAAGACAGAACTGCAGCTCTTCTTTGAAGCTTGCAGGAGAGCTCTTTCCACTCTCAGGATTTCTGGTTGTGCTCTGTGCAGAAAATGGCTCCTAATGTGCCTTTAGAGCTATGGGAGAAGCTGTCAGCTCTGGTGGGATGGGCTGGAGATAGGCATTGATGTTTAACTCTGAATGTCAGACTGGGGTCTTTATCTACCACAAAAGGATGCTGCCTGTGCCTGACCTACCTGAGCACCTTATTGAGATCTACCTGCAGGTGCTGCCAGTACATAATGGGGAGACAGAGGTACTCACACTGACTGGCTTTAGGCATCCAATTCAGGTGCCTGAATAGCAACATAGGCTCCACAGAGAGTTAATAGAATCACAGAATCTTAGGAGTTGGAAGGGACCTCAAAAAATCATCCAGTCCAACTCCCCTGCCAGAGCAGGATCATCCAGACCAGGTCACACAGGAACACGTCCAGGCGGGTTTTGAAAGTCTACAGAGAAGGAGACTCCACAACCTCTCTGGGCAGCCTGGGCCATGCTCTGTCACCCTCACAGTAAAAAAGCTTTTCCTCATGTTCAGGTTGAACCTCCTGTGCTCCAGCTTGCTCCCATTGCCCCTTGTCCTGTCATTGGCTGTCACAGAGCAGAGCCTGGCTCCATCCTCCTGACACTCACCCTTTACAAATTAATAAACATGAATGAGGTCTCCCCTCAGTCTCCTCTTCTCCAAGCTAAAGAGACCCAGCTCCCTCAGCCACTCCTCAGAAGGAAGATGCTCCACTCCCTCCATCATTTTTGTGGCTCTGTGCTGGGCTCTTTCAAGCAATTCCCTGTCCTTCTTGAACTGAGGGAGCCCAGAACTGGACACAATATTCCAGGCTGCTGAGTTGCCCTTAACAGGGCTTGTGAGATATGCAGGAACACACTGCTCCCAATACAGTGCTCATCCTCATGTAAAAGGTTAGCATGAGTAACCCCAAAAAGTTACCTGCTTTGAGTTCTGCAAGTATATATCTTGTTAGGAATGGCTGTACTGGTGTCTAGATGCAGTTTGGATGACAAATGTGTTCCCTGTTGTCTCTTAAACCCTGTCGTCCTATTCAGGATAGTTGTGAAAGTTAGGAGTCTCTATTCCTATTAAACTAACCTATTGAACTCTGCTGTGTTTATTCTCAATACCGGCATCCACTGCCACATTGGAAAGCACTGTTTAAAGCCTCTGTGTGAGGTTATAGCCAAACATGTTTTCTACATCCTGGAGGAGGTTATTTGCACAAATACAAGGAGTTACTGATTTTGCAGTTCAGCAATGTATTGAAGACTGTTAGACTGTAAAGGCTCAGCAGTGAATTCAAGAAGTATGGTGGGAACACTGGAAAGCACAGCTACTGTATTACCTACTCATTAGCAGAGCACTGGATGAGCATTTTGCCAAGCCTATGTAGCAGTGTGAAACAGGCAGGGCCTCTACGTTACTCTTGGGACCTGCTGGATGGGAAGCAATGGTCTTGCTAATCCTGGTCTCCAGCTGTAAGATGCCATCTTTTTTCCCATGAGTGCATAGCAAAGGACAAGTAATGTTCTTGGCCAGTTAAGGAAAGAAGCATAGACAAAATTGGTTCTTACCTAAAACTTCTGCTGACTTCAATGGGGTTCTGATGTAGCATTTGAGTAGAGTCTGGGACTAAAGAACTTCTCTTTAGCTATAAAACTGTTTTATGATTTTTAATGTGTAAGAAAATCCTAATTGTTAGAAGTCAGGCAAAACTACTTATGTATATTTAGCAAGTAAGTTTCTTTCTCTCTGGACAACGCAAACTAGGCAGAAAACTTGATGCCAGTAACTTGTCAGCAAGAGAGAATAATGGAGATTTTTCAATATGAGAAGTTTTACCAAGCCACTAACTCTGCCAAGTGGGGAGCAGAAAAGATAATTTTAATAATTGTTTGAGAATAGAATCTGCATAAAGTATAGCAAAAAATCGCCAAACTCCTGAAAGCTTTGATCAGGCACATTTTTTGCAATGGAGGGCTTCAATTTGGCTTGTTTGACCTCTGGATTTCTCTAATGCTATTCCCTTAGTTCAGGGGGCTGGTGCTCCTTTCCATTTCAGACAAGTGCATGACTTCCATGCTCACTTCCAGCCCCAGCACAAATGATTGCCAACTCGCTCATGTATCTAGGGAGCATGCTGAAGACAAGTGATTAGGAGATAGACAAAGGCAACAAGCATAGAGGAGAGAGCAGAAGAGAGAGGGGAAAAGAGCAAGATGTCCTTCTGGAAAAACATTTTTTTTTAAATTTGCAAAATCCCCACTTTTGGATGCTTTCACAAAGTGAAAAAAGTTATGCTTGTTAAGTTGCACACGCTTTGACTGAAGCAAGTATATTCATAATCCAGCAGCATTTCTCATGACCCTGCTTGAAAGATAATCCTCCTATTATAATGTGTAATAAAAATTAGCTGTAGACTGTGTAGGTGTGTGAATTCATGGGCATTTTCCATGAATGAGAGGAAGACAGAGTAAAGATTTACAGGACCATGAAAACATTGATGCTGATCTACAGTATAGTGCCTTTGAATTATCTGCTAGTCAGATGTTATATTTATTGCCTTCAGAAAATCCAAGAAAGCCCCTGTGCGTACAACAAAGCACTTTCTTTCTAGCCTGGCCACTTTCACTCATCTAGAGATGTACCTTCCTGTCTGATTAGAGCAATGATTTTGAGAGTCTCCTAAGACTTGAAGGTACTGAGAGACTCCCTTCCTAAATACCATTTTACCTAATGCCCTCATTTCTGTAACGTTCCATAGTATCGGCAGCTGCCCAGTATGACATTATAGAAATGACATTCAGATTAAGCTGAACTAGAAGAACATTCCAGCTGTAATTGTTATCTTTTTCTACTGACCTTTGTATTGACTGCTTGCTTCCTCCAGTAGTGAGAGGAAATTACTGGGACCCATTTTCCAGCCTTCTTCCTGGATCGGGGAGAGGAAGAATAGTGCGAAAATAAAAATCAGAAAATTTTTATGTAGAAACTTTGCAAGTATGTAAGTGTCATAATTTTCACTGAAATGTTAAGGTTTTATTTTAATTTGAGGAATAAGGCAATGTTGTTTCATCAAGTAAAGTTTTCCTAGCAGGTTATAAGGAAGCTTTATCTCCTTGAGTGAAGGAAGAGAGAGGGTGTCAGTTCATCAGTTGAACTACTGAAGTTACAAGAATCAAACTTAGGCTTGTTTTAACATGTAATATAGGTAGGAGACCTGCAACATGTAAATGAAATCTCCTTGCTATCTTTTTCAGTTGCTTTTATTCTATAGTAGCTCCCCCACTCCCAAAAGGAATTCTCAATTTGTGGGTAATTGCAAGATGTTGAAACCTTATTTTAATCTGTAATCAGGAAGAAAAATAGTGATCTTGGTGTATCTTGCAAAACAAAATATCTTGTTTCAACTTCATCAAAACATTTTGATGTTTTCCTGTCTAAACTAAATGATAATGACATATTCCTGAAATAGTTTAATTTCATTGGGCCACTATTTCTAATGGAAACACTTCTCAGAAAATGATTAAAGCTTCTTGATTTTGTATCAGTCATAAGTCCTCAAAATGTTAGTAAAGTAACAGTTATCAGTGGAGAACCAGCTGGCGGGGAAGAAGACTGGCCTGGCTGAACAGAGAGCTCTGGCCGGAGCTCAGGAAAAAGAGGAGAGTTTATAATCTATGGAAGAAGGGGCAACTTCTAACCTTCTGTGATTCTGTTATTACAGTGATTAAAGTTTGGGCCTAGAAGGACATGCAAAGCCTAAATACCATTATCATTTCTACACTATGCTCTATGCATACATTTGAAAGCTTCAGGAATTTCTTCACCAGAGATCAAGAAAGTACAACTAAGTGTCTGGGGATTTGACACCCAAAGCTCAAATTCCCAGTTACTCTAATGTACTCTCAATTTTTGCAGGGTATGGCATTTTGAGATTCATCCTTGGATCTTCTGCGATAGGCAGAATCCATTCCTTTTAATGTTCTCCCATGACACTTTATAGAAAATAATTAAACTGTGATGTTCTAAGAGGAAATATTGATAATTGCTAACTATTAAAAAAAAAAAAAGCCAAAAACCTCACCCACTCCAGAACAGCCTACAAATGTGCTATTCATTTTTCAGCCTCTTAATAGCATGGGACACAGTAATGTTTCTTTTACTGTTACAAATAAGCAAATAAATAATTCTAATTACTAGGTTCAATGATTTTATACAATGATGTAAATAATATAGTCATGTCAGGTTCATTGATTTTAATCAAAACCACTGTGTGTCTAAAGGACAGTTGCAGAATGCTGTTCTGTATTCCCTCTTGCCTCTAACAACATAATGTAAAGAACTTCTTTTCCTTTGAAGTCAGTTGATGTATTTTTCTGTGTTCAGTTGATTGATTCCATGCTTGTTCTGTGTTAAGTGTGCTAAGGCACCTTGAACCAACAATGTAAGTTTCAATCTAAGCACAGATATGGAAATAATCATTTGAATATATTTCTACCTAAAGCCTAGCCCAGACTAAGTGATTCTCATTCTACAGCGGGGAAATCTTTGAATTAACTCCACTGTGCACTTTTCCAATGGAGATTTTGCTAATACATTGCAATAAGGACAAAATGTGCCTTACTGTTAAATGCTTCTGGATGAAGTCTAGGGATGTGCAACCCTGCTCATGTTTGGTGAGACAGACTGGTTGCAGAATGTTACTGGGCAAAGCAGTCCAAACTGGTTTGATGTGTGTTCTGCTAGTGAAAAAAAGGCATCACATGGCGCTGAAGATTTGATTTTTTTTTGTGTGTTTGGGGTTTTTTTGGTTTTGTTTTCTTTTTCTCCTTAGGTGTCCAATGGGAAATCAAATCAGCACCTCACAGAGAAAAGAAAACGGAGTTACTTTGATGTCAGATATGCTTTTTTAAAAGATTGCTATCAGGCTTTTTAGAAATATTCAAATTTCCTTCTGGGATAAAACTTTTGTTTTCTTTAAGAACTGAAGTTAGGAGCAGGGCTTTCTTCTGCCTATATCACTATGACTTATAGCCTATACTTATTTTAATAAGAGTCCTGCTGTTAGAACTTTTCCAAATACTTATCAACTGGTCTTAGATACTATTTTTTTCCCCTGTCAGTATTATAACCTTGGACAGAATGTTCCCTTTGTTCTTTCTCAATGAACCATAGAGAACCTGATATAATGGCTCAGAATTTTACTTGACAGGACTTGTGACGGGTGACAAGATGAGAACGACATGAAGTTAGAAAGTCCCAGAGCTCTATATTGTTATTTCACCCCATTTCAAAACAACCTTGCAGAGACTCTGAGGGGATTGAGATTCATTTTCGGTATTGTTGGTTCTTACCTAGTGAAATGCGCAAAACCAACAAGGAAGTAAATTTATCCTGTGAAATTCAGGGGTTTAAGCAGATAGGTGAGCTATTAGCTGGTGTCAAAATCACGAGTTTGGTTTGGCGTTTATGGTGTGCCTGAACATTAGCATCTCACTCTGACCTATACTGAAGTGTCTGGAACAGCCTTTTCCTTTCCCTCTGTGAAACCAGAGGCATCCTAGGCTTTGTTCTGCGCCAGCTGAGTTGGGAAGGAGCAGGACAAGGGCAAGGCCATTAAGACACCCTCCTGAAAGGAACTGGGCTCTCTGAGATGCTACAGGATTCCATGACTGTGAATGACAATGCTCTTTGTAGTCTCTTTAATTTCAAAAGCTTTTCTAAACAGTTGCCTTTGTGCGTGTATTTTTATGAGAGATTTCTCAAGAGTTCTTCAGTGCATGTGCTGATTTCAGGGGTCACAGCACAAAGTGGTCCCACAGAGCTGAACTCAGCATTAATACAAGTCACCAGAAGTCTTATGGATAACAAACAATTTGGTATGAGTGTTATTTGGCTTAGGTCTGCAGGCATTACACTCCTCTTTCTTCTCTGTTACTCCCCCAGGTTGGCTCTGCTTTTGCCACTAAGATACAATGAAGTGGTACTTGTAATCACTTTCCACTGCTTGCAGTATGATGCTTTCTCTAATGCTGCAATGGTTTGATAGTGTCATCCTGATGGCAAATAACTGTCTAAAGACGTATGTGACAGGAAGTTAAAACATTTCCTGTTTGCACAAGGTGCAGTCACTACCCTTTCTAGTTGGCAATGCAAGATCAGGCCTAAAGAGCTTGGAAAACACATTTATGTATGCTGTTCCTTCAGCCTGCTGTGCATCTTCGTGAACAAAGGAATAAAAACCCCAAACTTTGTTTTGTATGATATGGCCCAAATAGAGTTATCAATCAGCAAAGATGCTAAGCTACAAGTTAACCCTTAGATGTCTACTTTCCAATTAGACAGACTGATGCTTCCTAAGTTCATGTAGTTTAGGTCCCTGGCTAGCTGTTACGACAGCTTTGGCTGGATTAATGACTGTTGTCCAAGAAAAACATCTTTTTTTGTTATATTATTGTTCTAGGGTTAGGATTTAAATTTAATTTGTGTAAAACTCGCAGTGAAGAGTAAGCTTTGCCCTAGAAAACTCACCCTTCTCCTCCACATACTTGGGGAGAGATTGATGACCATCATTAAAAGAAAAAAAATAGAAGTTTCAACTTTGCTTATACTACAAAGCAAATGAGAAACACTAGTTGCTGCTTCAGCAAAAGCCTGCAATTTTTGTTGCTCAGCTTACTTTTGAAGATGCCCTTTGGTCATTGCACTGTTTCATAGGTGTTTTTCTCAGTGAAGTTGCTCCTGAAATAATTTGGAAGCATACCTTCTGCGAAACCAGCCCTTAGTACATAAAAGATTTCAGGGAGTATATCATATGTTAAGTCCACTGTGACTTGAAGCAAAAACCAGTTCATAACCTAAGAATGTGGACTGAAAATGCATGACTGCTATTTACAGGCTTACAAAATATCAGCTTCCAGTACAAAAGGCACAGCTGGCAAATACAGAATTGTACTTGTGAAGTAGTTTGAAATCCACACAAGCTCTAAGGTGGGTATCTGAGTGAGACTAAGGTTCTTCTTTCCTAGCTGCACAAGGGAGTGGCAGAAACTAACTTCTCTGTACTCCACATTAAAAGTGGTAACGCTTGGTTAGATAGTGGGGCACCGTTTTGTTATCTGCACATAAAAAAAATTGCAGTAGTGGTTTGAAAAGTGTGTGCACTGTCTTGTAAACAATGTCAAAGCCATATTTTTCCCTTCATCTGTCTCTCTATGGCAGTCTGCACCTACATCAGCTCTTCCCGCTGAGTTGAGGGATGGCCATGCAAATGGTCATACCTTAAATATGAGAGGGTAATTTTCAGTTCCCCACAACCACCAAGGTAACTGAAAGGCTGAGAAAGACTAGCCTTAACCAGTTCCCTTGTCTTCTCAACCCAAGACTGAAGCCTTGGTGACTGTGCTAATGTAAACTAGTAACCTCTGTCCACATGTGGCTTAGTAAGCTGGACTTTGGCTCTGTTTACATAAGCTAACTCGTTTTACTGCAGGAAGCCTTACTTGCTGTTCCATTTTTTGTGGGTCTTTTTCTTTTTTCTTTTCCTTTTCTTTTTCTTTTTTCTTCCCTCCTCCTTTTTCTGTTTTCTCCTTTTGAGTGTCTTTCTTCAGTGTCATCTTCCTTTCAGCAGCCAGTTCCGCAGCAATCTGAAAGAAATGGAAAGGAATGTGAAGAGCTGGTCAAACATTTTCATGTACAAGGTGTATTAGACGTGCTGTAGGAGTTATGTGCCTATTTTTCCTTCCTTGCTTTCAACTTGCCAATACTGGGGAAACATGATATCCAATACATTGCTGGGTTAGCCCTCTATGTACTCCAGATCAGCTGACCATTACAGAGAAGTTCTTTTAATTTATGCTAGCGGTGCTCCCACCTGCAAACTTTAGTATAGGTGCTGACTATCCCAATATATCAATGGGAAAGAGGCAA